GGCAGGTATTTGCTCACCAGCCTGTAGGCTTTTCATTTCTCACCTTCATCTCCTTTTCAGCCATCCAAATGCACACACTACTAGCCTTCTGCAGCTATTGAGGGCATAGTTAATCAGCTCCTTGCTTCTGTCCGGGTGTGCAGCAAAAGCTTCACAAGTTGGAGAGCAGGTTACCACACTTCCCAGAAAAGAAAATGCAACTCTGTGAATGTCCACTGTGGCCCTGAACACAGAAATCCTCTTTTCATTGACGATGGCGAGTCTTGAGCTTCTGAGAAGTCTGAAATCATGGACCTTTCCAGATCACCTGCCTTGATATCCATGAACTTGTTGTGGTGATCAGCAGGTCTCAGAGCACTAATGGAGATACTTCCCTCTCTGTTGATGAAGTTTGCCTACTGTGAGGGGGCAGTGAAAAGGCACACGCGTCTCGTCAGTGGCCCCGATTATCTTCAGATACCTCAACCTGGCAAATCTGTCAGCAAGCTCCTCCAAACTTTCTGGCCAAAAACGATCAGAACTCACTTTGTAACAGCATGCACCGTAAAGACATCTGCTGGGTGATCTGTTGGCTTCTGACTGGTAGCAAGTACAAGTGATGAACTTCCAGGTGGCGATGCACACGGGTTGCTTCACTCCAAGGAGAGTGGTCATGCTGACATATTGCTGCTGCAGCTTTGGAAGGTCATGCTGGTGATTTTTAAATGAACATTTGTCCTCTTGGCAATTCTTGTCTTTGGGATTGTGTGTACCTGTAGGGGAGGAGGTTTGGCCCTTTGTTCTTCATGCCATCTTGAAAAGCTCTGCATAAATGACATCTAGAATGACTGAATCAGGAACTTGGAGGGAAATACAAGAATTTGAATCTTTTAATCAAATGAGCACGTGACTACCAACTCCTAGGCATGGACTTTACTCCTTTTCTCTCTAATACGTGTAAACCTGGATGGCTCATCTGAAAGTGCTTCGGGACCTGAGTAAAATTGAATGTGTGAGTACATGGGCAGGGAGAATTTGTCAGCAGTGTTTTCAAAGGAATCATACCTAATATCAACGATACCATTGGAAAATCCCAGGGAGACAGGGAGCAAAGCTCCTGCGATTGCTGTGCATGTAACAGAAGGATTCCCAAGATGCTCCCTCGGTTGCTAGCTGAGTGGAGTCCTGAAATGTCAGATCCACACAGCATCTCAGAAAGCAGAAGCCATACAGGTTGTTAAAGTGCATAGGATTCAAGTGGTAAACGTCCCATTTGTATGGTGCAGTTGCTTGTCATTTGCTTACCGGTGAGGATTTAGCAGAACACCAGGATTGCTTTGAGTCTGGGCATCGTTGTAGTTAAATGCTAACAGAGCAATCCTGACTATTTATATCAGTGACTCTTAACCAACGTGCTGCTAGATCCTTTGAAGGGTGCTCCCGAGATGTGAGGAGATGAGCAGATAAACACAGGCTCAGGCTTATCCCTACCTGGACAGTCCTCTACCCCAGTGCCTGCCCCTCTGCAAGGAGATAAGCACAGTAGTATATAAAATAGTTTTGAAATCGGGTGCTACTCAATTCACAACAGTTATGGAAGAGGTGCCTTGAGTCGAAAAAGGTTGAGAATCATTGGTTTACATGAATCTGGCTTTTGTTTGGGGGTTGGGGTAAAACTGGGGAGCAGGCACACAAGAGGGTCTGTGGGGTACCCTGGGTGTTTTGGGCAGTGCATTCACACACTTTTCTTCTCTGATCTTTGTCTCATGGATTGGGTTGTCTGTCATTTGAATCCCAGGCACTTAGACCATCCATACCAGCTTCGTCTCCTTGAGAAAGATGTCAGTGACCCTCACGTGTGACCTGCGAGGCCACCTGCTCATTTCAGTTTCCAGGTCTCTCCCTTGAACAGAGACAGCCCATCATGTTGAACAGTGTGGGAGTGATTTTTATAAGGGCTGACTTAACGTTTGGTAGTGCAGCATGCCTGTTTGCGGTTGGGTTCCACTATACACAAGTCTTCGGTCAGTGGGAGTCTCTGCTGACAAATAAAAATGGAATTGAATGGAATGGAATTGAAAGTCAAAAGGGCCCTGTAATAATTTCAGATTGCCTGAGGCACCATGCTCAAGCAGTAGCATTATAAATAAGGGTAATGTACTAGAGACTGAATTACAGTCAACGCATCCATAAGAACATGGAATGTGCACCAAGCTTATTTAAAGTATATAGAGTCAGATTATGATCTGTAGGCAATGCAGCGCAGGCAAATCAATATTCACTCACTCACTCACTCAACGGGGGCCAAGAAAACTTAGATTAGGAAGGGGAAACGGGGAGGCAGGGCTCTTTGGTGGGATTTGAGTATGAAGTGCGGGATAAGAACTGGAACATCCTGTTTCATCTGTGTTCTTGCACAGTTCCACGGCACAGGAGGCTTCTCCATACACAGAGTGTCTTGTTTCTCTTCACGTCCTGTAAATCTCTTCGTTTGCAACCCTGCATTGTAGATTGGATCCAAACTTACAAGACAGAGTGTCTGATCTCTCATTGAATTTCCCTTTAATTAAATGTATATAGACTAAATGAACAAAAAAAATGCCCCAATATAGGTTCGTAACACAATCTCATGGTCTCATTTTGAGTTCACTTACCTCAGCATAAATCAGAAGTAATTCTGGTGACATCAGTGGGCCTTCCTAGTATAAAATCAGTCTGAGAGAGATAAGACTTCCATAGAGAGTCTAGGCTTGAATTAGGAGTCGCTGCTTATACGTGCTGAGGCACTATTGTGCTAATGTAGCTGTCTGCTGAGCAATCACTGTTCAGTTAGAAGCTCTGAAATAGATGATTCAGCTGTATAATGCTGCTATTCTCTCCTAATGAGGCCATGAAACATTTTGACAGGTAGGATGGCTCTTTTTGCATATGTCCCCCTGTGCTGCCTTGACAAGCCTCTGTCACCTTGCCACAACCTTCATCCCTGCAGAAGGTGGTCACATCAGGTCTAGGGCAGAATCTAGGATCTGACTTGGACAACCAAATGCTGAATGAATGTGTTAGTAGGAATAAATGCATGGCCAAATGCCACCCCCAGCTACACACAGACCAAGCTCCTATTCATTGCATTAATGACTGAAAGGGAAATTTGACCAAAGGGTGTGCTGGAATCCCTTAAGGCAGTGATTTTCAATCTTTTTTTCATTTGCGGACACCTTAAAAAAATTGAATGGAGGTGCAGATCCCTTTGGAAATTTCAAACGGAGGTGCAGATCCCCTTCATTTGTAAGTGTGAGTATTCACCTACGTCTGATTAATCATAGCCCTCTTTCGTGGACCAGGGGTCCATGGACTACGGTTGAAAAACATTCTTGTAAGGCCCCTGTGACCCAGGGCTCTGATGGCACAACACGATGCATATGTTGGCTTTTCTATCTACAGAACTATGGTTCACATAGTTTGCAAGTGAGAACAAGCTTGGCGTTTCATGATTGCTACTTATTGCCTGAAGCACCTAATAGTTCAGCATAATGGGTGATCTCTGCTCAAAAGAATACAAGTTCAAAGCCATTTTTGGCATTTCCAAAATGCCTGGGTAGAGAAAGGGAAGGATTCTTGGCAAAAAGTCATTGTAAGGGGTGGAATGACATGTTTTCCTTGCATTCACTGTGCTACCTCTGATACTGTCAACCAGATGGACAGTTTGAGAAATGCAGGGGAGAAGGCTTGGCTAGGAGGCTACTGCTGGGTGTGTGTGAAGGGCATAAACAACCAAAGAGAGGGAGGAAGTATTTGAGGGGAATGTCCTCTCCTGAGGATGGTTACAGATTGGCCATATTGACATTTAGATCTTCTATTGCTGCCTTTGATATTGTAGATTGTGAAGTGGTATTGACTTACCGGCACTTCTGGTATGGGAATCTGTTCCTCCTGAGATCCCAGAGGGTAATACTAGGTGAATTATTCTTCCCCGAGGGCTGTCTCATGGGCTACCCTGGGGCTATGTTCTGATGCTTCTTAGCTTGTGCCTTAAGGCCTACGAAGGAAGTACAAGTAGAAATGCACACTGTGCTTGTGTTATCCTATGACTGTTCCATTTTCAGAGCTCAAAGAGCATAGCTGTGTATTGAGAGCAAGTCGTTAAGGCTTAAGCCAGGTAAAGACGAACTTTGGAGGGTTGGGAGAAGCAGCTAGGAGATATGTCAGGGTCTATGTTAGCAGCCCAGAAGCTGTTTGAACTGGGACTTTCTGACCCATGTGCCACTTGGGAACAGGCTGGGGTGTCTAACAGATCCCCAGATACTTCTACAACAGCGATTCTTTTAAAGATGAGGTTGTTTTAAGAGTGCTGCAAAGTGCCACGATATATTGTCACTGTTAGATGTTCAAACACATGCACAATTCAGAAAAGAAAAGCAGAGATTTCAAATAGGAATCCACAGTGTCAAAAAACATTCAGACCTGTGGTGGTATGTCTCAACAGAAAAATTATGTAGAGCAGCTGTCAAAAATGAAAAAATGAAAGCAAAGAACCGGTATTTTCTGAGGGGTGCCTTGAGTCTGGCAAGGCTGAGAACTCCTGTTCTAGAATAAATAAAGGCAGGAGGTAGGATGGTTACTTCTTTCTCTGGTTTGTCTGGCTCATTCCCAACCACTTTCTCCTGGAGTGATTTGGGAATGCACTGTGGCATGTTGGCTTTCAAATAGACTTTTTGTTCCATATGAAGTTCTGAATAGTGTAGGTACAATGCTCATTTAAAAGAGAGGGCAGCTTTAATTGGTCAAATGTGCCCCTTCCTACTCATTTTGTAACACCGGTCAACCTTGAAGGCATGGCGGAAAACTTAGCTCTGTGGGCTGAGACAAGAAACTTATTTTGGATCTACAGAAAGGAGTAGAGGTGCACTGATACATTGGGCCGATATCAGATTGGCGCTGATGTAAAGAAAATTTATTGTATGGGAAATCGGCTTCATGTGGCCGATAATTTGGCCAATAAATGCCTGTGCTGCGCTTAACCACAGCGTGGCGCATAGATGGTGAGGAGCACAGTCAGGCAGCTTGAAGAGCTGCATGCAGTTGGTAAGTCTGTTGTGGTAGAAGGGGTGGGGGGAAGGGAAGAGGTGTTGGGGGGCAGAACAAGGTCCTCACGGTGAGGGGAGGGAGTGGTGTTGGGGCAGGTGCTGCCTAGCTGGGGTGGGGTGGGTTGCAGGACAAAACTACGGCCTGTCCGGGGGTTGTGGGGAGGAGGGGGAAGCTCCTGCTGCTGTGCGCACCCCAGGAGGGCATGGGGGGGTACCCCTGGATCTGTGCGGGGCGGGGTCAGGAGGGCTGCCATTGCGGGCTGGTGTCGGGGCTGTGCTGGGCTCTTTGTAGCGCTTGGGGGGAGGGGTCAGTTGGGGCTACACTCAGGGTGGACAGCAGCAGCACTGGGAGAGGGGCTATGACTAATTTTGGAGTGGCTGCAGCCTCCTCCCCCCCCCCCCCCCCCCCCCCCCCCCCCCTCCCCCCCC